CATTCACATGACCACTGCCTTTTAATTCTTATTGCATTGTATTGTATCACTCAGATACTGGTCTACACCTACGTTATTTATTACATGCATAGATACATAGTATGTTGGTTTTGGAGCTAGGTGTAATATATTTAAAGGTAATCTAATGAACGTGTTCTATACCTACATTAGGGATACAAACCGGTACCCCAAACAATAAAAAAGATTTCCGTCGGTGTTGCATATAGAGGTATAACGTTGCAATTACGATGTTCGATCACAAGGTGTCACTGAAGAAAAACATTTTTTTTCGAATTTTTCTCGGTACAGTCACTGAAAGTTGAAATATTTATTATGACAACTTGGTTCGTCAAAAAATGACATTATTTTCCAAACTAAATAAAGCAGTTGGCTCAGAATTTATGATGACATATTACTTAAGCACTATTCAGAATACCGTAAGCAAAAGCAAAAACCCAGATAATAAAATAAAGAATTGTAGCAACAAGATTCAAAAGACACATATAACACATAAGTCATTGTAATTTAGAGGTATAAACTATATTACTTATTTTTTTTATATTTGTTTTTATTACTGGGAACCTTGCCTCACCTGGTGTCATTCGAACGTCTACTTACAGGAAATCCTGTATATCATGATTTTTTTAGGTAACTCATCTATTTGGTAATAAACAAGAATTGAGATAGGAGAAAAGAAAGATAGGTATAATAAGCTGAATGGCGTCTCGATATCGAACAGTAGACCGTGTAGCTTTAAACATAAAGTTTTTCTTTTATTCTGTTTGCAGTTATAAATATTAAATAAAGTTTAAAACGTTGTGCATATCAAATTGACGTCAATAAACGTAGTTGCTATCTCTATGATCTAAAAATATTGCAAAACATCTGCTCTATTGCGTTTATTTGCACGGAACGCAATGACTCACAGTCGGCACCACAAGATTTTTATTGAGACTAATCTAGAGACTAGACGTCGCTCATCAATAATGTGTTTTTTTGGCAAAATTACACTAGTTGCAACTGCAAGGACAAACGATTTATAAATAAAGCATTATAATAGCTATTGTTGACTACAAGTTGGTAGATATTTAACTTTCTTTCTCTACTTTTAAGACACATTTTTAACAGAAAAAATGTACTGTTCCAATAATAATTATTTATTTGCTTAATGTGGTACATGATATAGGTGTTACATACAATATAATTAGATCAGCACATTTACCATTATTGGCATACAAATTAGTTATATTTCATCATTACTTCATATAAGTTAAAATATATGAAGTATATAGTACACAAAGTAAGTATGAGGTAATAGTAAAATTGTGGTGGCCCGGAAATTTAAGACGTCCACTTCTCATGCATGAGGGTGCGGGTTCGAAACCTACCAACGGCAAGTACCAATGCGATTTTTCCGAGTTATATGTACTTTCTAAGAATATTTAGATATCACTGAAACATCGTGAGTAAAGCTGGGCTTATAACTCTTTAACTTCTAATTATAAGTTTGAAATCGCCAACCCGCATTGAGCAAGCGTGATGGTCAATGCTAAAACCTTCTCCGTGTGAGAAGAGGTTTTGCTCAGCATTTGGCATTTACAGACTGTTGATGTAATATGAAATCTAAAAAATTTTGGTACTGATGCCCGAATACTGAAACGTTACTCAATTTTAAGTCGCGCTAAAGCATAGTTCTGTCACTACTAATTCTTTGTAAAATGACAGAGACAGCACGATATTTGAGCACGACTTAGTTAAAATTGAGTAACGTTTCAGTATTCTAGCAATAAACTACACTCAGGCACTCCTATTATTTAATTCTATCTTTAAAACCAACCTGAAAAAAACATTTTGTTTTTTTTCTAAAAATTCGTGAATTGAGTAGTAATTTTCTTTAATTAGCCATTTATTTGGCCATAAAAAACAGTAGAAAAGAAAAAAAATGTTAAACATCTACCTTGACGTTTATTCAAGCATACACATGAACTACAGATAGCATACAACACACAGGTAATGTACCTTTGTGATTAGCGAACTACAAATATACTCGAGTGGCAAACACTTGGGATTACTAAGCCGGTGTGGGAATTACACGATTCCAATTAAAATAATAACAATCGTAAGGTCTCTTGTAAGTTGATTACTGTCCACACAAGTATGTTAAGTGGTAGTTAACGCATTTTCACTAGCTCAGCTCGGCACCAACTGCTCTTAGAGTACTTATAATACCTTCCTTGATAAATGAATTACCCGACACAAAAAGAATGTTTGAATTCAGGTCTGGAGATTAGTGCGTTTAAACAAACAAACAAACAGACAAACACTTCTGCTTTATATCAGTGGTCATGAACATTATTATGGTATACTAATTATTCTTTACTATCAGTAAAGTCAGTCAGTACAGACTTGTATCTATACTGTATATTGTAGATCAGGGCTGTCCAAAGAAAGGCCCGCGGGCCGCATGCGGCCCATGGCTTGTTTTCATATGCCCCACGACACATAATTTAATCTCAATATCTTCATCTTATGTGCAACAACAGTAATAAAATTCAGTGTAAGATTTGTCTACAAGTTTAGTCTGCGAGTATAATACAATGTTAAATTTCACTATACAACTGAAAATATTTTTCTGGCCCTCCAGCATGTAAAAATTATAAGTTTTATATTTATATTATATACAATAGTGAGTTCGTACATTAACATTTGTCTTTTTGACTGTAACAATGGCGTGACAAACTTCTGAGAAGTGATAAAGATCTTCTCAGTAGGTAGAGGAAAAAATTCAGTAGCATGAGTTCAATTCACGGTTTGAGAAAAGTATAATTTAAGAAAGTATAATTTATTCTTTTCGGATTTGCGACTAGGTACTTAAGTAGAAATAAAACGGGGTCTGGTAACAAGTTCACCCCAAACTACATGGGTAAGGGGTATTTTTTTTAAGGGGGGAAAATCGTCGAATGACTGGTTACCCGTTAGGTTCTCCGCGACATGGGTAATGGGTATAGGGATCCATAAACATAAATTACGTAACTTGTGAAAAAGTTTTCATTCCTGTACGTATGTTTTACCCATTTACCCACCTCGTGTATTTACTCACCTCATGTAGGAGATAGTACATACATACACATATATACAAGGAAAACTATTATGTTATTTGCTTAATGAGTCTATGATGCTGATGTAATTACAGTGAAATCTCGAACCACAAGGCGTATAGTGGTACCTAGGCGTCACTTAGTAAGTTCTCTTGCAACACTTGAAATTGTTGAGACATAGCATCACGCTTTTTATTCCCGTCAAAGTTAGACAGAGATGCACATTTTACAATTACAACAACTGTTTCGTAAAGTGTGATGAACTCATGATCGACTTCATTTGGATTTTACCATTCCAGATCCCAGTACTAGGTATAATACTTATAATATTATGAATAAATGTAAAATTGTATGTCTGTTTATTCGTCCGTCTTTCACGGCAAAACGAAGCGACGATTCGAAGTGATTTTAAAATAAAAATAGTTTAAAGGAAGGTGAGTGACATAGAGAGTTTTTGTCGGTATCTAACTCCCCCACTTTCCTAAAATGTAGGGTTGAATTTTGTACGAATTATTCCGTAATTTTCAAAGTAGAAAGTTAAAAATTGATACGCACACTATCTTATCTATACACATAATAAAATTGTAGGAAAGTGCAAACTATACATTGATTATTTTTTTAAAGGAATGCTTAGGCTGTGATCTACAAACGGCACCGAAGCTAAAAATATGGTCTATATATTTTTTGTCTGTATGTATGACCCGGCTAAACTTAAAAAAGTACTACAGGGATTTACCTCAAATTGCATGAATATTACTAACAGGTCGTGTTAATATATAGGCTACATATTATCAGCTACGGGGGAGGAGCTGTGAAACACTATTCCACGCGAACGAAGTCGCGGGCAACAGCTAATAGTTACTTAGTTAAAGGATATAGTTACAAATCTAAAACTTGAACAAAAAGGGCCAATCTTTTAGTCATTTTGTAACATAATAATACTAATTCGAGCAAGAGAAAAAGAGAAAAGCCTTGTCGCGTGGTATTATAGGAATTTATAAGCTAATGACTACTTTCTTTTATAGCGATCGTAAGTAATATTGTTTGAATATAATTTACACCATGCTACGTGGAAACGGCAGAAAAAAATTGTCGCCGGCCCTACTCTTTTCGTGGGTACTGTAGCTGATTAAGGAATAGTACAAAACCTAGGCCGGGCAAGCGTTCTAAATTAAAAAACTTGAACTTTTTAAACTGTGATATCATGTAAGATCTTTATAACAATTATTTGACCATGAAAACAATGTTACTGTAATACGACAAGGGCACGGAGACAAGTCCATATAAAAAAAAAACTGTAATCTCGAACTCGTCTGCCAAGCGTGGATAAAATAACATAAAATCACGCCCTTTATCCCCGAAGGGGTGGGCAGAGGTGCACATTACGGTAGTTAATGCCACTGTACAATGTAACACCCACTTTTCACGACGTACGTTATGAGTTCTAATAATTCTGGTATTACTATAATAATAAACATGAGACACTCGAGACTTTAAAAAAATCCCAGCAATACTTTTCCCGACACGGGTATCGAACCCGAGACGCCTTGCCCCGCAGTCGCACTTGCTACCACTCGACCAACGGGGCAGTCAAGCATGGACATCATGGAAAACTTCTATTACGTATGCTCAGAGTCCAGTAGTGGACTTTTACACAAACAAACAGTCGCACAGCAATTTAATCGCCTAGCGGAAAATGTATACGTTTCTATTAATATTTTTATTTGTTTATTATAGTCGAGGAAGGAACATGCAGTTACCGTCCTGTTTCTGCCGTTGAAGGGAGAATCCCAATTATAATAAAATAAACAATCTTTTCTTAAGAACTGAATGAAATAAAAGGACCAAAAGCTTCTTCGGTTTCATGAAAACTTCGCAAAGCAAATAAGAATTGCCACTAACCTGTGTGAGGAGTGAGAAGACGGTCGCCATGCCGACCTGGCCGACTCCAACCACTGTCACCTTGTTGCCGGTGTCGATCATCTTCTCCTGTCGGGACTGCAGCACTTTGCTGATCGTCGCCATTTTACCTAACAATAAATTAAGACGAGACGATATTATCACATTTTTCTGTCGAGATCTTTTAAGGTTATTTATGACTACACTTTGAACTAGGCGCCTCATAGTTCGGCAGCAGATGTTAGTCTGAGAGCACGGCCACAGGCTATCGCGGCCTTCGCAGTTCTGCTGCGTAACGATAAACGTACCTAATTACGTCATCGTTTTTATGGCAGTTTTTTCCCCGAATATATTACCTCTGTTTTTGCACACCATGTATCACATAGTGCAACATTGTGTGCACTTCTTTAAAGTGGTGTAATGCCTTAGAAAAAGTACTACAAACTTTTACAACGCATGATATTGCGGAAATTGTAGTTACTTGTGCTTCCCATGTATTGTCTACGTATGTCGACTAGATCATGATGATCATTCGATTGATGAGAAAGATATGTAGGTGTAGCTATTCTATAGAAAAATTAAGTCTTTTTGCATCATCAAGATAATGAAAACTTTTTATTGCACATTGCCGTACCAGACCAGTCATTACTATCTTCCATGGAATTATTGTGTCAGGCTCTATTAAACTTTACAACATTAGCTTTGAATTCCAAAACGAAGGCGAAATAGTAGGTGTAAGGACTCAATGAAATGGTGAATTTTAATGTAGATTTATGCATTACCTATATACCTAGCTCGCAGGTGCAAGGTGATCGTATCGACGCCAACACAACGGTCCTACACTGTTGACACTTATCGCAGACTTAGCTAATACTTAAGACTCATCGGCACCTATTAAAGCAGCCAGAAAATTCCAGTGCTTACAAATACATAATGATGATCCATAACTGTCTAGTAGTTCTAGAGACCACGTTCAATACAAAAATATCAAGCTTTTCCCGTTTCTAAATTTAGATTTCTATGTACGTTTCAAGAACCAGCATGCAATAACATGGCTTCCAACTTCCAAAATTCTAAATAGGTCCACATTCACACATCATCACATCACAACAGCAACCCTTACTAAGAGTCCACTGCTGAGTAAAGGCTTTTCACACGGATCGTTGGTGATTACACCTGTGACCTGCGGGTGATTGCTCAATGCGGGTCGGCGATTTCAAATCTATAATTATACTTTACAAGCCCAAGTTACTCGTACCGTATGTCACTGGGGTCTAAATAATCATAAAAAGTAACTACACACAACTTGGGGAACTCACTTTGGTACTTGCAAAGTTTAGGACCCGTGGTACCCTCATGCACGAGAAGTGGGCGTCGCAAACCACTGGGCCACCACATTTTCACAATAGTATGGGAGATAGGTACATACATAGATAATTTATATAAAAAAATTAAAATAACGAACTTTAATAACTAAAATTTTGCGATCTGATGTATGGTTACTGTAATGACGTTTGGTATTTGAATTTGAAGTTTCATTAAAAATATGGTGGTGAAAATGTCGTGTAAAAATCGATTGAATTATTTTATCGATAATATTCACATACAAGGATAAATCTTGTTCCCTAACAAGATTTGCACACACAATTAATCGAAAACCGTTTATTATTTTGCATAATTAAAGTATTCATTTCACCTTACCTACTCATAATTGGCAGACGCTTCTTGCTCACAATTTTGTATGCACTATTTGTATTATAATAAAAATAAAAAGATGTTTAAAAACTACTAACTAAATGTTTAAAAACTATTGCAGTTTCTTGTAAATAAATAAAATGAATCAATTCAAAATAAATTATGAATCGATTCTACCGATATTATTGTGCCAATCTCTACCAAGCTTCGATCAAAATCATGCATCAACCCCATGGTATTATAAGGACAGTTTTTTTCAATTTTAATAGTCATACTTTTTACTGTAAAATATAAGTAAAGCAAAAATATACATATTTATTTTCGAGTTAAATTACTAATATTAATTAATTATTAATATAGATATTAATACAGATAGACATAGGTCTAGGTGATTTCTACAAAATGATGAAACCTGCATAAAATGGATGACAACATATATGACACTGTCGGGCAATGTCATTACAACGTCTATCAGAGAACAAAATGACTACCTATGGTGTCCATTGAGATTGGGTCTCCCGCCATCCTAGGATAGTTGCGGCTAGTAGGTGCTAACTCTTGACTGTTCAGACCCACCTGGTCATCGGACATTGGCCTTCGATTTATTAAGTATCAGTCTCTATATGTATGTATATAAGTAAACACTAGACAATGACCAAACACTTATGTCATCACCTAAAATGTGACTGCAAATATCTATGTCTAGTCACACGCGAAGTGATTTTTGAAAAACTTGTTTCTATGTAAACAAATATTAATTATCTTTATAATAAAATATACGAATAGAATATCGGGATTATCAACTAATAACTGTCAAAGTCAATAATTTAAAAAAAGTAGTTTTTTTTCTCAGATTTGAAATAGGTTTAAAGGAAGTAGGTTGTAACAGTTAATTTAGTTGTCTATTAAAGAATATTTTGTTCAGACTGATATTAATATCGAATTGAAAATGTGTGTCGTGGTGGCCCGGAGGTTTAAGATTCCCGCTTCTCATGCATGAGGGTGCGGGTTCGAAACATACCAACGGCAAGTACCAATGTGACTTTTTCCGACTTATATGTAAGTTTTCCGACTTACTAAGATAATTTAGACACCACTGACAAACGGTGAAGGAAAACATCAACACAATTATAAGTTTGAAATCGTCAACTCGCGTTGAGCAAGCGTGGTGATGCTACCCTGAAACCTACCCTGTGTGAGAAGAGGCTTTGCTCAGCAGTACTGTTGTTGTGAAAATGACCTACTCGAATTAACAAAACTCCAACCAATACTTAGAGTAAGTGCTTAGTCTAAAGGTTAATGTCCGGACTAAGGTTAGGTGAAGGTCGTATAAAACGAGACAAAATCGATGTAGGTAATACCTATAAAATACGAGGTGTAAGTCCAGTACCTAATTACAGTAACTGGTTAGATGGAATCGTTCCTCTCATATACACATACATAACTTCACGCCGGTCTCCCATGGGGGTAGACAAAGACTATACCGCCAATTTTTACATACCTCTTTCGGTTCATCAACATCGATAGATACATTATTGTTTAAATAGGGACAATTTAACATAACATCACGCCTTTTTATCCTCGAAGGGGTAGGCAGAAGTGCACATTTCGGCACTTAAATGCCACTGTACAATGTACTACCCACTATTTCACTATTTATATTATGAGTCCCATGTAATAGGGGGTGAGCCTATTGCCATATACTGCGCATAATTCCAGACTCCGTGCTACTACTGACATTTTTAAAAACCTAATAATACTTTGCCCGACCCGGGAATCGAACCCGAGACCCCTTGCCTGGCAGTCGCACATGCGGCCACTCGGCCAACGAGGCAGTCAATTTACTGTTCCATATTCAGAGCCTGTGTCAAAATTCTGTCAGTTGAACTGATGGATAATTTAACGTAGGTATTTCTCCAACTGAGTAATTGTGGATGGTGTCGTGGTAGCCCGGGGGTATAAGACGCCCGCTTGTCAGGCATGCGAGTGCGGGTACGAAACCTACCAACGCCAAGAAGTACCGATATGACATTTTCCGTGTTAAATGTACTTTCTAAGATTGCATATTTAGATATCACAGGCAAACGGTGAAGTAGAACATTGTGAGGAAACCTACTGGGATTATAATTTCCAATTGTAAGTTTGAAATTGCCAACCCGTATTGAGCAACTGGAACCTTCTCCGTGCGCAAAGAGGCCTTTTGGCAGTGGCCATTTATACGTTATAAAAAGTATAATAAGAAGATCTTGTAAATGTACAATAATATATTTTTTTAAATCCAACCTATAGTTACCGGTCTTATGGTCGTTTTTACTAGCACTAAACCATTTCTTAGCTGAGTTTCTCAATCTGATTTGGAACCTTAACGAATCCCTCCCTTTTTTTAAACGTTGCCCCACACTAGGATTTTCTCCTGTGCCGTCGGTGCGTTTACAAACATACAAGTTCACATACACATGACACACACACAAAGATTGTTGAAAATCATAGTGACGTTTAATGTCACCTATATCAGCTTAGGGGTTCTTTAAAAGTTGGAGGTTGGTGAAAATGGGTATTAGCTCGACACTCAAGTTTATAGAGAACTAGCTTTTACCCGCGGCTTCGCTCGCGTCACAAAAGGATAAAAAATAGCCTATGTGACATATACTAATACACACAGCGCCATCTATACCAATAATTTCGTTTTCCCTCGAGAATATCAAATTTTTCCGGGATAAAACGTACCCTATTATTTAATACAGACTTCTAACTTTACGTCTGCAAAATTTCAAAGCAATCGGTTTAGTAGTTATGGCGTGAACGCGGAACAAACAAACAAACTCACTTTCTGATCTATAATATTAGTAAGGATGGCACATAAGAATAATAACTACAGAGATCGGGGTAAAATTGAAGAAATATCAGTAATTGTAGGTACAGTAATAGATCACGATTTATTCGAAAAAATGTAATTCACATGTAATTACTACTTAACCAAGTCCTTGGCAATTATTTTCGGTACAAATTATTTACTTAGGGATAGTTTAAGTTATCATTCCATGTCTCTGAGTATTGCAGTTAGGGATGTAGGGCCGATTTTTCAATCAACAGAAAAGTTTTATAAATACTACACTATTATATAAAGCAGAAGAGTTTGTTTGTTTGTTTGAACGCGCCAATCCCCGTAACTACAAGTCTGATTTGAATAATTCTTTTTGTGTTGGATAGTGCATCAACAGTCATCAGTCTTTTCATGAATTTTATTAATTCTACATACATACATGTATAACCCCATCCTTAATTGTCTCCTATTGGAGTAGGCACAGACTGTGGAACGCCAATTGCCAATTGCTATTTAATTATATTCAATTTTATTCTATGGATATATATATATTTTTGTTAAAAAATCGGCCTGCCTCGTTGGCCGAGTGGTCGCAAGTGCTACTGCCGGGCAAGGGGTCTCGGGTTCGATTCCCGGGTCGGGCAAAGTATTACTGGATTTTTTAAAAAATATCGCAGAAGCACGGAGTCTGGAATTGTGCCCGGTATATGGCAATAGGCTCATCCCCTGTTACATGGGACTCATAACATAAATAGTGAAAAGTGGGTGTTATATTGTACAGCGGCATAATGTACACCTCTGAAGGGGTAGGCCCTTCGGGGATAAAAGGCGTGATGATGATGATGATGTTATGTTAAAGAATCGGCCCCCAATCTAATAGTTAGAAATATGGGATAGTACCTGTTCCAGAGTCCTAACCTTTATTGCTCATGTTTTGAACATGTGTAATAATGTGTATCTCTATATAAGTAAACTAGGCCTCTTTTAGACCGAAAATCTAATGCAAAAAGGTTGAAAAAGACACCTTGGAACATTATTGGGACCTCCTCTATCCTCTTCAGTCAAGTTTCCAAGTAAAATATTAAATCTATCCAACAATCAGCCTTAACGTGTATCTAGTTCAAGTATTTCTAGTAATAAATTCTTTGCAATTATTGATTAGTGTTCAGGTGAAGCGACCTGTACGATACAATCGTTCTGAATCTACTTACTTGATTATTTTAACTACAGGTTTCTAAATTATTGTACATAAATAAAACAATTATTTTATTACATTACTTCTGTCATATAACTAATGCAATCAATGCAATAATTTATTTTCCTCAAATGCACCGAGCGTTAAAGGAAAAAATATTTAAGGTTTTGTTTTAATTATTATAGTCAAGGTTAATCACTTCAAGGCATAAGGAAAACTTATATACGGCCAAAATAATGATGCTCCACAAATTAAAAGTGCAACCTGCATCGCCATGCAGTGGCAATGCCTACCATAAGTACTTAATTGTGCAAACACCATAAACTTACCGTCTCCGTTCTCGTAACTGCTGTTAGAATTATTCTCGGCCATCTTCAAAATTCACGAATACGATAAAACTGTTTAAAAAATATCGATACACAAAGTTATCTTTTAGAGACGCGCGCTCGCTCTCCCACTGTCAACGACTGACTGAAGGTACTGAATGAGCGAACCAGACCGGTCTGCTTTTATCGTGGAGAGCTGAACTAAGGAGTGGTTGAACGAATGATTAAAGCCGTAGATTGCGTGCGCGCGAAAAAGTAGGGTGCGTTCGTTACGCGCAAGTTCTTTGCACCAGAAACGTGCTGTGGTGGGATACACAAGGTCAAAAAGGACACAGGATTCCTCCTGTCAAAATAAATTAACAACGACAAAGAAACAATGTCTAGATTTAGTAAAGAACAGTAGTCGTTACGAAGGTACAGGAAAAAACAAAGTTTAAAAATATTAACAATTTTATTTGTAATAAAGAATGAATGAAGACAACATAATAATGTCACGAGCGAGAAGAAATATTTTGGAAATGTTTTAGAGTCAGTTCTGCGAAATTAACAACTTGGCAATTTTTTAACGTTTTGCTTGGCACAAACGTTGGCATGCAGACCCAATATGCACACAAATTAAACTCTTTCTTGACATAAAACACAAACTCAAGTAATTAAAAAGATTTGTATCAACTATAAACTATAACGCAATGTATATTAGGTATAACATAACTGCATTTTATGCTGTTGGTAAAGGATTGCATCACCCATTCGATGAATCAAATATAATATACTATAGCTACTTTAAAGTAGCTAGGTCGGTGCTCTTGGTACTCAGGTGTATTGAAGTGGTTGTTGCTAGGCACTCAATATGATGCTGGGAATATCCTCGAAGAAGGTAGGAGCCAAGACCAATGGAAATAAGTGGTCAATAAATATGTAAGTGCAGAGGTAGATACCTATTAATGTACCTAATCTATTGTTACACTGAACATTAATAGGATGCTGTTGTTAGGTAGGTACCTAAGTGTTCCAGATGTTGTGTGCAAAGTTGATAAAGTTTGATAGACCATCATGCTTTCTTGTGTTGTTTATTTAATAGAAAGTTCAGTGACAAGCGTTGTAAGAATGATGTCGTGAGTGCAGTCACGTAGTTGCCCAGTCAGCACGGCCAATGTTGTTGCCGGCGTGTGTCGGCTCGCGTCGCGTCGTCCCGCCGGCACACGCTCAAGGTGACCTTCAACAGTTAGTTTTGGACACCGTGGCACCGCGCATGCCCGAATTAAGGCCATCGCTCCCACAAAAACACACCCTAATCCCTAAACAGACGCTCGTATTTTCAATAACACAGCGTTTTTATACAGGACTTCAATCTACGAACCGGCTCATCTGTCTGAGAGCTAAATTCGGCTTTATGATTACGCCATAAGATCTGAGGTTGAATAAAAGTTATCTAGAATCTAGACTAGTAGGTAGGTGACTATTAAACTAATAAATAATTCGGGCCTGTCGAGTGAGGAGAAGTTCACCCGCCTCTGATAAATGTGTCACAGGAAATAAAATGAGCTAGGTATACTTAATACTTTTTCGAAAATAAGTGCTTATGTCTTGTCACCTTGAGAAAATGTATGAGTTAAAAGTAATACTAGTTTTAAAGCAAACATCAAAAAATTAATAAGAAATTTTATTAAGAACACAAACACTTTTAAATAAAATGAAGTAAATAAGAGAGAAAACAGGTTTAACAAAAAAACGTACAGTAAGTTACCTACTAATATTAAGTCATTTGTTGCCCATACTGCCAATGTTACCTGCTACCAGTACGTATACAACCACAAAGCTTGGTATGGCTATGAAATTTTACCTGTTACTGATGTCAAAGTCTTAATGCAACTCGACTGTCCCATAACTCAATGAAAGAAGCTCGCGACATTATTAATTATGATATAATTTTGTTAGCCGCTGATTGAAGGTCGGCAGTATTTTCCGCACCACGACGCAGCACTACTGCTTCATCCTCACTAAGATTTTGTCTGATGATGTCCGAGACTCCATTCCAGCCTATCACGCAAGGCAGGGAGAGGAAAACTTCATCTTTTATCGCGTGTTCGCCCTGCAAAGGAAAATGTATACATATCCTTATCCTTACTAATAATATTATAAATCGCAAAGTGAGTTTGTCTGTTTGTTCCGCTTTCACGCCGTAACTACTAAACCGATTCCTTTGAATATTTGCAGACGTAAAGTTATAGTCTGGATTAAATAATAGGGTACTTTTTATATCGGAAAAATTTGACATCCTAGAGGGAAAACGAAATAATTGGTATAGATGGCGCTGTGTGTATTGGTATATGTCACATAGGCTACTTTTTATCCTTTTGTGACGCGAGCGAAGCCGCGGGTAAAAGCGGTTAGACTGCACGGTTGGTGCGGTGGCTGGGCAACCGGCTGCCGTGCAACGTGTCGCGGGTTCGATTCCCGCACGGAACAACTCTTTGTGTGATCCACAAATTGTTGTTTCGGGTCTGGGTGTCATGTGTATGTGAACTTGTATGTTTTTAAACGCACCCACGACACAGGAGATAGTCCTAGTGTGGGGCAACGTTTATTAAAAAAAAAATGCTAGTAACCAATAATTAGTATTGAAACTTACTTATCATCTAGTCTGGTCAGCTACATTGTGCCTAAACAATTCTTAGTTTTTTACCATAATGATTGTCATGTACACGATACGGATCACGGACGTGTGTGCGATACTGTCAGTGAGTGAGATCAGACATAAAGTACATATACCTAAAGTGTTTTATGGCATGGGCTAAAACACTAACCCATTTCCAAATTGTGATTTACTGAAGGAATGGATTTTTAGGTTATGACGTCATAACAGTCTATTTGTTAGAAAACCGAAACAAAACCAAACTGTAAATCTTTACCAGAACACTTCTAAATTAAAATTATGTAAGTAGTTTTAAAAAAATCTCAATAGTAGCACGAAGTATGGAATTGTGCCCGGTATATGGCAATAGGCTCACCCCCTATTACATGAGACTCATAACATAAATAGTGAAAAGTGGGTGTTAGATTGTACAGTGGCATTAAGTGCAGTAATGTGCACCTCTGCCTACCCCTTCGGGGATAAAAGGCGTGATGTTATGATGTTATGTAGTTAGTCATTCGTACCTTGACATAAGTGGACACTGGAAGCACTTTGTTAGCATTAATAAGTATACATTTGCATATATCTGCCACACCAAGAGCCAAAGACCATGAGACGCAGCCCTTGAGCTGACGTACCAGACCTTCAGCTTTGACTGCATCTTCATACAGCTCGAACCAACATTCAGGATCCTTATCCGTACCAATTTGAGGATTCAAGTCTTTAAGAAGTACACCACCTATGTTCACACTGGACCATACAGGAACTGGTGACAAAGAAGTTATAGTTCTTAGATGTATCCTTCTCCATGTCTCTTGTTAAAGGTGATTTACTGTGTGTCTTTTTTATTTCAGGGCAAGGATTTCTAGTTAATTGTTTGCTTTTGTTGTGACCATTTTGAAAAACGCTTACATTTGATTTCAAAATCTGTATTGAAGACATTCTTACCGCTAAATTGTGGTCCATGCTGCCCGATTATGTACCCGTGGCAAGACTCTGGTGTGACGCCGAATTTGTCGCCCAACAGGAATCGGAACCGTGCCGTGTCCATCAAGGTGCCGGTGCCGATAATTCGATTCTTCGGTATACCAATCAGTTTCCAAGCGACGTAGCTAAGAATGTCGACTGGTTCACTTGCTATTACGAAGACTGCATTGGGATTATATTTAGCCAGCTGGATGAGAGAAAATTTCGTTAATTTTCTGAGTAAATGATAAGTTGGTTACACAAAGGTCGAGAAGACCTTATCATTAATTTGTAGGTGTTAATTATTTAGTATTTTTGAAATTCCGTAAATACTACATTATGAGATTTATGAGTCTGGTAAGATTGGATGTTGTGTCCGAGAATCACAATAAACTGCTCTACAACTACAACACCTGTTTGTTATTCTGCAGTTAAAATAGACTTGTAAGAATGGAACCACTTGAAGACATAGGTAACTTACAGGCGCAACGATAGCTCTAATGATGCCCGCATTTCTGGCGACGTATTCCGAGTCATTCTCGTCTCGACCTTTATAAGTCCCCGTGGTGACGATACATATTTTGGAATCGCGAGTGTCCGCAGGATCTAACAAGATTTATAATTTGTTATTTCATTATATATTAAGGTATACCTATTTTTTTTCTGAGGGGAAAATCATCCAATGGTGTCTTCTGCCTTGGGTTAGGCGTGACAAAGTGTCAGAATCTTACTGACTAAAAACCACCCCGTTCTTAGGGCTTGTATACAAAACTGCGATGCGACGTCACATCGTATAAAAATATGCGAGGTCCCTCTACGCGCATCAAAATCTTATCTTCCAAAAACGTCTTTGTTTCTTTTTCCTGTATCTCCTAAACAATAACAGAAGGGTACACTTCTGTTCACGATCCATGTCATGACCTAGTGTTCAATTTAAAATAGGTAAGTACGTTTAGTACGGTTGACAGTCGTCGAAGGAATGGTCACCCTCGGAGATGCCTTGTCCCACGAAATCGTAATCGTAATTTTTTGCGTTGCGAATTCGCGTCGCAGTTTTGTGCGAGCCCAACTCCTGATGATCTTCGAGCCGATGAAACGCGACGCTATCTACCCTACTCGCCGTCCGCAGACCCACACTTACGGTGGCCGGATATAGGTATACGTATACAAACTTATTATTTTAATATGATACATGTATCTGCCCTTTTAGCTAACCCCATGGTACCCATGCTAGATATTTAGGTCATTGTATAAACTTGAGGTGAAATTGAGCTTCTCGATTTTTTCACTCTTCGCATATTAATAGAGGTTGCAATGCAACTGTGTCTGGCATTACTATTTAGTATTTGCTTTAACCCTTATCATCATCATTATCAACGGCTGGAAGACGTCCAGTGCTGCACAAAGGCCTCCTTTTAGTCCTCCCTACCTCCACATTGTGAACGATAACTCACTACCTGCATCCACTGGGTCAATCCTACTCCCCCAAAAATCTTTATTATGGAAGAAGACATGTGTAATATTAAGTTTCAAAATAAAATACCTTTGCTGGAAATTATCTTTGGATTATTGAGGAACATAGCGCCAGACTGAAGATCTAAGTGTTCACCCTCCAGTATTTCTTCGTTCACATCAATCATACAAATGTTATTTGTGATTCCCTGGAATACAATGATGTAGTCATTGAAATAACTGACTGACTTTGCAATGGTTCGAAGTTCCAGGTCTGCAGATAGAAAGCTGGGTCTTAATGAGATGGGAGTCTTTCACATAACTATGCTATCTTTGCCCTTCGGGAATAAAAGGAGTTCTATAATAATAAAATAGCCATTTCATTGGCAAATTTAGTAAATATATTTTTGAATAGTAAAATCCCAATAATTATCAGAAATGGGATTAAACAAACTCTATCTGAATTTGTACCTTATTAGTGTAGGCACTATAAACAAGTAATTATATAACATTCAATTTGAATGATCAAAGTGAACTCGATCGCGGTCCGCCATGACATTGGTTGCGAAAATCATCTCGGCCACTGACGGGCGAGAATGCGATGCTCAGTTCGAAAGTTGGAATTGACAGTATTAGAGTTTTTTTTAAGGGGGAAACTCATCGAATCACTGCTCCCGTCTGGGTGAGGCGGGAGGGAGTGTCAGACTCTTACTGACTAAAAACCACCGCGTTCCTTCTCCTGCGCTTCGAGCCGGAGCCCCGGTAACCCGTTTGGTTCTCCGCGACTCCGAGTCGGTAGTGTTACAGAGTAACCGACCAGTTTATTAATTTACCTTAGCCAGTAGAGTATAAACAATCGCAGTACCAATATCGTCTAAACCGACAACGCTTATTTTTTCGCCGTACCCGAGACTTTTGTGCGAATTAGACTTGAATATCTTTCCAATCGTTGTGAATTGTTTGCAAGGAACACCCGACCCAGCTGGTTCTGGTGGGGGAGGGTTCCGCGTACTTGCGTATCTAAGACCTGGAAATTAGATAAATACATAATACTTTGAGGATGATGTAACTGTTCGATGAAGTACTTCGCTCGGCTATTTTCAAGCAATGCCGAGGCATCATGCACGAATCGATTAGAACGAAAGAGATCTGTATTCAGCCTACTCTCTGCTAAGTCGTACTTTACGTAAAGTGCGTCTTATCATAATAAAATTAGAATATCATCTCCTACGATGATAAACTAATTACTTAGCTCAGTATTATCTGTTTATCTAAATGAAGCCTCCTGATCGATTTTTTCGTGGTGGCAAGTTTAACTTGACTAGCCCACTAAGTACTTAGGAGATATTACTTTTAGCGCACAAACTCTCGAAACCCAATGGGACGGTGGGACGGCAGACCGACACGACTGGAGAGAGATCAGGCGCAGAACCAACAGGTTTACGTGCTTACCAACGCACGGGGGTGGAAACACCACCGAACTTCCTGATGTCGGTCTAATAACGGTCATTTTAATCAATAAATGTTATTATCACTTTTTGCCCGACACGGGAATCGAACCCGCGACCCGTCGACTGCGTCAACCGTGCAGTCATTGTTTACCTACTGGTTTATTAGGTACAGAAGTCGTATTACTCACTGAAATGAAAAATGTCGTAAGCTCTAATCTGCTTTCTAACACGGCTCGCTAACTGCGGAACTGAGGGAGGTTTGAGTAATGGGAACATTTCAACAAGATTATAATAGTTAAATTATGCAAACTTTACAAAAAATAACTTTATAATAGTAGGAATCTTGCTTGACAAAGACTTTATAATTTTGTCTTTGAAAAGATGAAGATTTGTTTTATTCTGCTTCGTTAACGGCCATGTTAAAAGATGAAAGAAGTTTTTACACACTTACGCCCTCCTTTCTTTTAGTTTTAATTTATGGAATAAATAAGCTATGCTGGCAAACAAGCAGACTGATCACCGATGGCAAGCTATCGGCGCTGCCTATGGACATAGACAGAGGATTGCCTATGGACAGAGAACTTAACAAGCACGTTACTAGCCTTTTGATGATTGACAGGGGTTTCAAAACGCCAATTTTGTTTGACCCCGGTTTTCTGTGAGGCCGTGATTTGAGTCCGGTCGAACCGGCCCATTCATGCCAAACCATGGCTCTCCTACACTTAAAACCTAATCTAAGTATAACACGCTAGAGGTAGGGGAGACCGAGGAGAATTGTGACAAAGTAGAGTTGTGACAAAGACGATTTCTCGGAACTTATGACCGTTAGCGAGCTGGCAACAGCGCACGACTGTTTGTTAAGAGACGCGCTACTTGACTCAGTACGCGCCAGAAGCCCACGACAAGCGGTTGCGTGTATGTGACGTCCGCATAAAAAAAGAAACAAAAAGTAAGTTTTTTATTAAAACAATTATTGTATTTATATCTTCGTATCTTATATTAACGTGGCTGAGCTATTTTATGTTATGTTGTGTGTTATTTAGACTTTGAAAGCGTGGTATTGTTTTGCTGTGTTTGCATTTCGTTTCCAAATAAATAAAATGTTTTTTGACTTGGTCGCGATATTTGTTACCTAGGAGAGTTGTGACACGTTGTCACAACTCTCCTATTTAAGTTTATTATGTGGGTAGCTTATTTTACACGCTTTTTGAATTGTTTTTTGGTTTGTTTATATGCATGTTTGTATGCTTTGATCATTTCTTACTGTCTAATTTTAATATTAAAAGTATTCGGCAATTCAAGTCGTCTTAAAAATATTTTTTGTCAGGGATTTACTTAGGCATGTGGTTTTGGTATTGTATGCTGAGTTGCTGTTTTTCTATTTCAGAATGCCAAATAAGTATACACGAAAGACTGATAGGGGTATGGCTAGTATCGACATTTACGAACTAGCCTTTGAAGAAGTTACGTTGAGGGGTTAAAGTCTCCGAAATGCCGCATCTTCTTACAATCTCAACTACATGTCTTTGCAAAGATATATTAAAAAGAAACAGGCTTTTCAAGATAACGCAACAGAGGTGATTCCGTCCATGGGTTATGCTAGTCCAAAAGTTTTTACAGATGAGGAAGAAAACATATTATGCGAGTATTTATTGACATGCGTTGCATCCAATTACGGGTTGACAACTAAAGAAACAAGAAGAATTGTGTTCATGTTATCAAAAAAATATAACAAAAAATATCCGGCGTCATGGGAAAAAAATGACATGGCAGGAGAAGTGTGGCTTAAATTGTTTATGCAACGACATCCCAATTTATCTTTAAGATTACCACAAGCTACAAGCATAGCTCGCGCAACGAGCTTTAATAAAAGTAATGTGGATGCTTTCTTTAAGAACTATACTGACATTTTAAACAAGCATAATCTTGTAGCAAAAGATATTTGGAACGTCGACGAGACAGGCATTACAACAGTTCAGAAACCTGACAGGGTTATAGCGCGACGTGGAGAAAAACAAGTCAGTGCGATGACATCGGCGGAACGAGGAACCTTAGTTACTATGGCTTTTGCTGGAAACGCAATACGTAAGTATATACCGCCTATGTTTATATTTCCACGTAAGAGATTCCAAGAGCATTTCATTCGTGATGGTCCGACTGGTTCTGTTGGAACCGCTAACGGATCGGGATGGATGCAGGAGAATGACTTCCAGTTTTTCCTTGAGCATTTCAAAAATCACGTTAGACCATCAAAAGAGAATAAAGCTCTGTTGCTCCTAGATAACCATGCTTCGCACACAGCTTTGAAGAATATTGAGTTCTGCAGAGATAATGGGATTATTTTACTGACATTTCCCCCACACTGCACACATAAGCTGCAACCTTTAGATCGTGCTATATTTGGGCCTTTAAAAAAAGCAATTAATACAGCTTGTGATGATTGGATGCGCTCTAATGCGGGGAAAGTCATGAGTATATATGATATTCCATCCATAACAAGATCAGCATTTAACGTGGCGATCACTGCAAAGAATATCAGTGCTGGTTTTGCTGCAACTGAAACATGGCCTGTTAATACTGATATCTTTGGAGAAGCCGATTTCCTGCCCAGTCAAGTCACTGACCGTATTTTGCCAAATCCGGAACCAGAGCAATCATCAAGCGTTCAAGAAACCACGGCTAATGTAGAAAATAGACCCTACACTCCAAATCCTACTATTGACACCGTTGAATTCAATGAAGCAAGAGCTCTTACTCAAGTTACATCCACTGATCAAGCCACAACATCTATCAATCAATCTTTGCCAATTAATAACGCCAATGAACCCGTCGCCTCCACGTCTAGAGCTCGTACTCCTCTAGCTACTACTTCTAATGTGTTCTCGCCAGAATCAGTGAGGCCGTTGCCGAAAGCTCCGCCTAGAAAAAATAACCAACCTAATAGGCGCAAGATAAAATCGGCTGTGCTTACTGACACACCAATAAAAAATGAAATAGCTGCCATAGAAGCCAGCAGGAAGATTAAAAGCGTGAAAAAACGCGTTTTAAACGAAGGAAAGGATGTACCTAAAAAAACCAAAAAGACTAATAAGAAGAATGCAAATGATGCTGAAGAAGATGAAGAAAATGATTATTTTTGCTTGTGCTGCCTCGTACCTTATGCCAATAGCAGATCGAATGAGAAGTGGGTTCAATGCTTGGAGTGTACCTAAAGGCTGGTCTCACGAAGAATGCACTGGGGGCGAGCTGCAATACGTCTGCCATAATTGTTTGTCTGATTAGGTTAAGACTATTGACTGATTTTAAAAATATTGATCTCATAATAATACCATAATTGTTCAAAAAAATAATTTAATACTTTTTTTATATTCATATTTGTTGTTATTATAATTCCTGCAATTATTCTTAATAATAATTAAAGTTCCTTTATGCAAAAAAGTGTGTTTTGTTTATAATTAAAGTAAAAGTAATTCTATTTATTAAATTGTAAATTTATTAAATGCTGTCACAACTTACCTTGGTTCTTGTCACAACTTATATCGGTGTTAGGAGAGTTGTGACAAAGGGAGTAGTTACAGTTTTGAAGGTTTTTTTTCAAAAACCTTATATTATATGTTGGCTTTCATGATTAAATCTAAAAGGGTAAGGATTGAGCTATAACGTGACTAAAATCCATAACAGTCATATGTTTCTTTACTGAGATTTGTGCTTTTAAGTAAAAATAGTCACAACCTTCCTCGGTCTCCCCTAAGGAGAGTAAGAAACCAACTTGTACAAGTAGGTAGTAGTAACAGGCGTAAAACCCTCTGAGGTGCTATTGACGCTCCAGACCTACTGAAGTCACTATCACGCTTTTACGTTGCAACAATTACTGATGAATTGACTAAAATCGCGGGTTACTCACGTGAATATACATAGAAATTAAGTACTGCTGGGTAAAAGTACAGGTTGTTTGTCATCGTAGCACGTGCTAAATGCACCTATTCCTCGCACCCTGGTCGCGCTGAATGGTCTCTTGGATTCCAATCCAACTGGGATCTGTTTGCTGTATGAAAAGAGATTTTATCAGAATGCCTGAAGTTCGCGTGAGGAACTTATGAATGTAGCATTCATTCTCTTTTAAATAAGTTTTACTTTCGTTTGTGTAATGTGTATGTTTTGTTTTTTTTTATTATTTCATCGTTTATTATTTTGTGTGTCCAGAGGCCTTAGTACGAGTTTGATTTACGTAGTAATCGTAACGTG